CAGCATCGATCGATTTAGTTGAACGGTATCAAATCTATTTGGATAATCCTACTGTTATTTTGGGACAGCAGACTTTTTACAAATGCTCATTACCGCATACAAAATTCTCGGACAATGTTGGTCGACATGAATGTTCTTCACATCGAAATGAGGGATCAAATTGACAATATGTATGATAATTATCTAATTCGAACTCAAAAGTCGGTTCATCTGTTCGATCTGTGCAGTCAGGATTATTTTTGTTGTCATAGAAAAAATCAAGTGGAATGCACTGCATTCCATTATGACACCGATATTCATTCTTTTTGCAGTCATGTACTTCTAATTCAAAACAATCCTTTTCATCTTCACCACCATCTAAACAATCTACTTTACCATCGCATACTTCACGCCAATCAAGACATGATGGATCTGCACCACGAATACAAGTCAAGTGAATATAGCACGTTTGTTCCGCTCTTTCCATCGGATCTTTACTTGACTTCAAGGAGTTAAACGTTAATATTACAATTTTATCAAAAGAGTAAACGTTTTTTATAAATCTATATTGACAATATGGTCCAAACCAAGGAAATGAGCATTTGTAAAAAGTCTGCTGTCCCAAAATAACAGTAGGATTATCCAAATAGATTTGATACCGTTCAACTAAATCGATCGATGCTGACCAGCGCAATAATTGCTGGCTGTTGACACCTTGTCGCGATAATTCACGAAAAGTTATAAGATCCATTCGATTAAATATTAATGATGAATTTCTCAATAGTAGGTCATCGTTGGAAATATTTGATGGGCGCATGCAAAAGAATAGAATCTGATGTTGAATATCTGGCACGTCCTCATAAGGTATAGTATCATCAAATACATAATAAAGGAGACAATCATAATATTGATGATTCACAGGTATAATTTGCTCAGTTTCGTACATATTAAACTGATGTTCAATGCCATCAAAGGAGTCAATCAGTACCCATACATGAATTGCAAGCAGAATCCATCGATTCATCTTCTTTTTTGTCTCTACGCTATTATTACAGCTACAAACTCGTTTCTATAAGCTCCGTATGGTGCAGAAAAAGTGTGCTATTCGTGACTGTCATGTATCAAATTGTCAGGCATAATCATCCATGTTTATCATCAGAAAATTGTCAGAAAATGTCTACAGAATAATGTTAAAATACAATCGTAGTGTGACACGTTCATATAATATTAAATCAAATTTTCTTTTCTTTCCGAAACACGTTCATTATAATTTTCTAACAACCCAGGGTGTGGATGCCGGTGTGAGAATTTTTCTTCATCGACACCCAAATTTTTACTACAGAAGTATTTCATTTGAGATTTTAGCATACTTTTCATTTCTCTCCGAAAATGTTTGTTATTCTTTTTTCTATCAAGTTTTCTCAAAGAAATAATAATCTGAATTATATGAGAGAGAGTTTTCCTGCTCTTCCTAATTTGTTCTGTTAGACGAACAGCATATATTTCCCTAACGCATCGTATGAGAAAAGATTCTCATGTATTTCACGGGTATTTCAACGAAAACTATATGCTTTTATCAAGCCAAGTGTTGAAATCTCAAATATATAAAAATTAATGACTGGGAATAATTCCATGAAAAAAGCTTGCAGTCAAAATAGTTTTTGACTAAGATCCGGAAGAGGACCACAGCGATCTTTTTTAATGACAAGAAAAGTTCGCAAAAAGAAATCTGAAACAACCATAGGCCCACTCAGCTTTTAGTACTGCTCCCAAAGATGCTATTGTTTTTTGACTCATAGTAATTTTCTCACCTAAATCTCGTGAATAATAATGACAAGGAAACGAAATCATGTCAATAGAATAGCTTTCTTCGAAGTTCTTCAGAGAGTGCTCACCAAGAGACCGAGGCAATGGCCAAAATTTAGATTTTTGGGGGTGTGGGTGAAGAAAACATGACACCCACACCCACACTCTTTTAAAGTCTTATCTACGTTTTCGTCCACAATTCTAGTATTTCCCTTTATTTATCAGTGCAAAAGCAGTTGACAATTGAGTAAACTTTCAAAATTAATAAACAGCTAAGCCCAACTACAGTATACTTATCTGTGAATCCTGAAATGCTTGACCAGAGGTGCTGAATACTTTATTATTTTGTCCGTTTTTAACGTAAAAAACTGCTTCGCCTGGGTTGGAACAAAGTATTCAGCTTTCATAAGAGTCATTTTATATTACGACGAGTTTAAATTATTTTAATAAAAAAAATTCAAAGTTTGAAACTTGTTTTTTTTTAAATTCATGAAAACTTACTCATCAATTTGAAGAAAACTCATTATTGTCACTATATGTATGTCGTTACCTTTTTTTTCTTGAACTCGAACACACTGTCTCATTGTCATTGTAATATGGAATCAATCATCAGATGGACACAAACTAATCGAGGTGCAAGAGCATTTATATACAAAAATCAAAATGTAGGAAATTATGTTCAAATAAAAACGGTTTTGAAATATGGATGTAGGTGAGTGTCTTCCTTTCTCACACACAAGCTCTATATCCACAATAAATATTGCATTGTTGTTACAGTGATGTCGCCTGTATACACATTCTCTATATTAGTGTTATCCTCTATGCTCTTTCGTTCTCTCTTTGATCTTGTATTCGTTCTTTTCGT